GGTGGGGCAAATCTAAAAATAGCTCTGGAGCCGGACACTCACCGCGTATACGTGGAAAAAACCCGCGTTAAGTGAAAGTTCAGCTCTGGCGAGGTACCGCGTATACGGTAAAACGCGCTAAGTGAAACCGCATAAGGCGGGGTAATACTGTGTGTATATATATATATATATATATATATATATATATATATATATATATATCGATAAAATTACACGGGAAAAGGGAAACAACGGAGCACCTTAGCTTTCGTCTTTATGCAAGACATCTTCAGAGGCAACTTGATCACATGGACAGAGAGAGGCTTAAATATACAGGGTGACCTTAAAAACATGAGGTCAGGTCATAATGATGTCATCCACTAATCCCCACACCAACACACACGTAGAGGAGCTTAAGAGATGGGGGGTGGCGTGACTAGTCAGGTCAGGTCAAAAATAAGGGACCCACTAAGTAACTATCATACATCTAGATCAAAGGTTTTCAAAGCATTTTTAACCTTGGGCCACTGACAAATAAATTTATGTAACATATCAGTTTTTAACTGACCATCACTGAGGTTTATTGATTTTAATTCCTTGATCAAACTAGCTTCAACCAGAAGTCTTTCTGTGACACAAGCAGGGCTGTGGAGTCGGAGTCGGAGTCGAGGAGTCGGAGGAAATTTCGGCTTGTGGAGTCGGAGTCGGTAAAATTGTCCAGACTCCGACTCCGACTGAAGCTATTCTGTTCCTAAGAACAAATATATGAACTCAGGCATATTCATTGCAGTGATTCCACTGATCCCACTAATTTTCTTAAATTATTAAAAGAATTTATTTCCATTTTATAAGCATTATTATGAATTTATTGTAGCAGGCACAGTATAGCACTATAATTTTGGATGATAGTCTCTTCTTTACCATTTGAAATTTTGAATTATATCAAATTTTGTTTCGTTGAAAACTGCACAGAGGCTCTCAGCTACAAAACAATTAGCTACAACCTGTTTTTGGTGAGATTAAGGCAAATTTAATTTAATAACTTAATCATGTAAGGTTTATCCATTTTCCTTAATAAGGTATTCATTTCTTTAATGTACATAAATATATAACTTTACTTTAAAAGGAATTGTAGGATCATCATTTAGATCCACATCAGATTATGAGCTTAAACAAAATTCATATGCTGAGATCGAACTTTTAGATATACATGTAAATGGTGTTTTCTAGTTAATATCTTGAATTCTTAATAAATTTATTTTTCTTTTGATTGAAACTTTGAAAGTCAAGCCTATCATCTTTTTGTAGTTCTTAAATATCGTCCAGATCATTAATAAAGCTGTAGCAGTATAGCCACGGTGTTTTACTTTTTACCTACGCAGGTTACAACATACAAATTACAATTAGGATGGTAGAAATAGTTGTTACAAATAGGCCAAGGAGTCGGAGTCGGAGTCGAAGGTTTTGTCTTCGACTCCACAGCCCTGGACACAAGATGATTTAAATACTTCTAAGCTTTTTTCCCAAGCAATGGGATGATTATTATTCCTAACATGAACGAACAAGGCACTGCTTTCAGATGCTGTTCTGATATTATACTTATGTTGTTTGATTCTGAGCTGCAGTGTTTTCCTGTCTGTCCTACATAATTACAATTACATTTGCTACATGGAATACAATAAACACTTCCATTTACAGTCAAACTTGGGCTATTTCTTTTAACATATTGGTAATGGTTGAGTCATACTTGAAAACAACATTAATATTTAGAAGCTTGAGGGACGAACTAACGGGACAAATTCATTACGATAGGGCAGAGTCAAAATATTCTTAAGTGTGGGAATTTGCCTGGTTTGGAGAGGAATGAAAGGATTTTTAACCCTTTTTAATACATCGACAAAGGCAGAAGGGTACCCGGTTTCTGTGCAATGGAACGAATGTGTTTCAATTCATCGTCAATAAATTCAGGTCAAATCACGCGAACAACTTAAGAACATAGCAGAAAAAACTGACATTTTGGTAGACTCCAGGTGATTCGATTAAAAAGTGAATGAAACTGTCTACCTGTGGTGCTTTCTGTATACCTTAAATTTGTAGTTTTGGCCATTTCTCATGATCGTGTATGTGGAATACTATAGTGCATGTACACTTTACTCTTAAATCACTACTGTAATGTGATACAAGTGATTAATTTTTATCTCTTCTGCAAAATACATGACGTTTATATTAAAATTACAGGTGCTCCCGACTTACAACGGGGTTAGGGACTAAATCCAATTAAGTCCGACATAGATAAAAAAATCAATTTAAAAAAAAATTAAATTTAAAAAAACTGCTATTTTAACCTTTAAACTTTGTTTTGCCAACATTCACAAACATTAACATGCTGCATCAGAGGGAAACTCCTACAATTAATTTAATGTATGATAGCATACGGCAATTGTACCTGAATTTACTCGGGTGTTTTTGCCGTCCAGAATTGGTACAAAAGGCAGACCTTACGACATTTGATCCATGCAATGATATTAACCATTTACCAATTAATCAAACGTACTTGGGCCCAGCTGTGCATGGGCTGCTCCAGACTGATGAGTATCTGAACCAAGACATGGTAGATGATGTGCGAGGCAGTTATCGCACATTTATGATTACAATGTACATGCGGTTGAGGAAAAGGTTTAATTTGAACAATAAATTGTGGTATATGTGCTCATTTCTATCTCCAATGAAAGTACCAGATGTCAGGTCCAGGATAGAGATGCCCTCATTACATGACATAGTTCAGACTGTGCCTCGCATTTATGGAGGCAATTTACATACCTTGGATTATGAGTGGAGAAATGTAAATTTCACTCCTTTTCCACAAGAACTGAGGGACGATAAATGTGGGATCGTCGATTTTTATGAAAAATTGGTTAAATTAACTGATAATGAAGGATTGTATCAATTTAAGGTTTTTCCCACATTTGCATTGCAGATATTATCACTACCAACTTCTAATGCTGTTGCCGAGAGGCTATTCTCAAAATTAAATTGAATGAAAATGGACACAAGGAATTGCCTGAGATACCATCCATGAATGCTTTAATTTCAGTGTTTGAAGATGTTGCATCCCAGGGTTGCTGTGTGAATTTTAAGCCATCTCATACAACAATAATAGTTTATGAAAGTACAGTAGACTCTTGCCATTCACGAGTTTCCGATTCGCGATTTCGACCATCTACGGTAAGCAGATGGTGTCTAGCTTGGAAACCTTTTCCCGCAGGACAGCGAGTCACCCCACGCAGCATCTTGTGTTGTACTCTCAAAACTTTTGTGTTTCTGTGTGAAATGGCCCCTAAAAGACTGTCTAGTGTCAGTGCTAGTGATGCTTGTGGAGTGAAATGTAAAAAGCCAGTGATGATCCTGTCAAAGAAAGTTTTATTATTAGATAAGTTAAAAGAGAGGATGGGTGCTGCTGCAGCTGGTCAGCTATTTGGTATAGGTATACAGTAGTGCATTATGGTAGTATATGTTGCTCTTCACAGTTTTGCCAATTAGTGCCATTTCTTGGAACCTACCCCTTGTGAATGGCAAGAGTCTACTGTAGTATCAAAGAGAAAATGAGCGTTAGAGGTGTTTGGGTTTCTGTGATTGGTGTTTTCTTATGTATAATGCATTTTTTGGGGGGTTATAAACTGCTAGGCCTTATGTGCATCTTCAGATATGCTTCCTGAGGTATAAACGATAATATTACACTTGTATGCGACTTATAACCAGTATAACAATAAAACATTTTAGTTGCACCAACACCACATTTTCTATATATCAACATCACCCAGAGAAAACGTGTAGTAATATGGCGTCATCCACGAGTATGGATATACGGCAACACTGAACATCAGTGTGATCTGGCAACTATGTAGACTGTATTCCAAGATCACCACACCAGTCTCTCTTTCCTGTTTAAAGGATCCAGGATATAACATTGACCCACATATTCCACGCATTTATATAGAGTGAAGTAAGTGTTAAAGAAGACTGTTTTTTGGAGACAAATTTACGAGGTCAGCCTGTAACACTAAACATTGTAGGAGCCTAAGAGTGAGGTTCAACTAACTGGCAACCATTCAATTTGCATTAGTGCTTGATAACCAAGATTCTACTGTATAATTTATCTTTCTTTACTGTACTTCAAGAAGTATATTGTACAGTACTATGAATTTCACTGAATGTCTCTCAAGAAGCAGAATCATTAACAGAGTCAACAGCTGTCTTTATTTACATGTCACTGTCACACATAAATTCATGATACACAATAGTTTAGATAAGGAAACAAAAATATCTTATCAAATAATTTTGTAAGTACCCCTGTATGCAATGTATTTGGTGTTATAAACAAACATCGGAGGCTGCAACCATAAAAAACTGATCGATTATATATACTTTGTAGATCTATTGTATAACATTCATTATCCTGTACAGTACTAATTTTGCAATTAAGACCAGAATTATGCTTTTAGGCAACATTTCATATGAATATGCACCACTAGAAAAAACAAAAAATATCCTAGAACATAAATACTGTATAAAACTTTTATAAAGGAATTACCTTTCTATAAATATTTTGTGTATTAACACCAAGAACGTCATCTCTCATGGGTGGCAGGTCATGTGGGAGTATATTTATGGCCGACTCATCTGATAGAGGCAGCGCACACATTGAGTTTTTGAGAGCATCCACACATGGATCCTTGTTTTTGTCTTCCAGAATCTTTATGGCTTCCTGTAACACATGGTAGTTATATAAATAAAATTATTAAACATGATAATAAATGAATAAATGCTAAAGAGAAACTACGTAAGATTCCGGATAATGAATACTCGAGCAACATAACATATGAGATTTGACCTGAATTTCAGGAGAAATCACAAGGAGAAATAATTTAATTTGTTCCAAAAACCTCCAGGTAGTGGTAAGGAAATTAGGTGATCCTAATTTGTGCTGCATTTTTAAAGTGGTCACATAAATTACTATAGTATAAATTATCAGTTTTCTCACAGTAAGTGCTTCTATGGATAGGAAAGACTAATCATCAATCTACCAACTGAAATTTTTACAAGAACTATATACTGTACTGTATTTACCTTAAGATTGCTGTTCAATGTCATGTTCAATGCAAGGGAAGACTTGAATTTGTGTGTTGGGTCAGTTGGTTCAAAATCTTCACCAAAATCAGCTGTTGATAACCTTTGTTCCACTTCTTGTAGTTTGTAAAATCGATGATCTGCAAACAATATTTATTCATACTAAAATGAATTGCATTAACACTAAATAATATGAAGAACACTAATGACCAACAGTTCTCAATGTTTATCACGTTATTTGACTCCGGATTAAATTTTGCGGTTCCCTAACTTTATCAATCTAATTTTGTGTTCTTTGCTTCATAAATGGTTTTCAAACCAAGCATTTCCTTGCTCATGCCCCTTTTATTTGAAGCAGACTGTGCAGGGGAGAAGCAAGAATGATTGGTTAGATAATAATTAATAGACCTATCCTGGCAGACACTAATGGCTCAGGCAGAAAGAAAATAATGTGTTCAGGGGTAGGTGCTGACTTTAGAATTTTGTTGACCACTGATTAATTGCCTGGTTCGTATGTTTTGGGAGGTGGGGGAGGAATGGACCCAGCAAAGTTGCCAGATAAGAATTTTGAGACTGCCAGACTGTGTGAGAAAAATGTGGCGTGGACTATACCTACACTTAGTCATGCTATATACACTTTGCTCATGTCATGTAAACTGGTAGTCAGGATTCAATTAAGGAAATAACTCACTCAAAGTATCAAGTCAATCCTCACCTTTCACAAAGGTGATGGGAGGTACATGACCAATGACACGTTGTTGACTTAATTCGTGGCGAATGGGTTTAGCATTCCTCTGAAGTACAGCTTCTATATGATTGTCGGTATTTGCACCTGAGCATATCCAATGCACATTGATGCCCAGTAAATTTGGCAAAACTCGGACCTGTATGAGAAGTAGAGATAATCATGCAAAAATCAACCGGCCAAGTAACATCAAAATAGCTCTGGAACAACTAAAATGGTTTGATTATTCTTAAGCTTCTATGAAAATGAAATTTTATCCTGGATATTCCATTATATACCTTAGCCTACAGCCTGAAAGACTCCCATAATGCAACAATTCATGTCTTCTGGTTTTGTACTCCAAACTCATCCATGTCTAAAATATTACAATTTCATTCATGATATAAAAAAATAAATACAAAAATAAAATAATCACCAAAGGTCTCTTGCAAAGCTGTATAAAGTTAACAAACAGGCAAAACAAAACAATCAGTAACCATTTAGAAAATGGCTGCTTACTAACCTCGGATATTTCAAGATCAAGACCACTTAGCTGCGCTGACACTTCTCCAGTGGCCATTATGTCGGTTATCTTGTCTAAAAAAACTTTATTCAAAACTCTAAGTCGATGAGTTGATTTCACTCCATTACCACGTGTTTGGACCAGGCTAGAGGGATCTGTCATTATCCTGCCATCATGCCATACACGTCTGGAAAAAATTTAAATACTCTTCATGTTGCAGCAACATTAAGAAAGAGCTGGTTTAACATGTGATTATTGGAACACAAAGCAGCATGACTCGGATCTCACAATATCAAGCCATATTTTAAATCTCGTATAGATAAGGCACCCCAGCTTCTTTCAACTATAATAAAGAAAAAGAAAAATGAAGAGCACGCATATGAACAGTATTCTCCAAGGGAAGTGAACTTATATGGATGTGTCACACCGTCTCCCCATACACTGCATAGCAGCCTCGCATTTCTCAAGTCAGCTGACTAGCTGAACTCATCCCAGAGAATTTTCTCTCATAATTATTAATTGTTGATGCAATAGTGTATAGTATACTGTCGATTTAACGGAATCCGATATAACAAACTCTCAACTTAGCGGAAGGCATTTTTCCAGTATTTTTTGCTCGATTTTGTGAACTAGTTCGCTACATCGAGATTAATTCCATTAAAACGCTCACACCACGGAGACACCTCAGACACATGATACAGTAAAACCTACTTCAGCCTACAGCTGAACTGTTTATATATTTATCACATTTCACATTAATGGTCAATTAACCAAATATTATAGATTGTACAGTACAGTACCTACGAATTCTGCAATGAGTATTGTCAGAGATGAAATTGTTCTTATTATCAAGTGACTTTATTTAAGTGGATTATTCCACATATTTATCATGAGTCATATAGGTGGATCAGGAGTGATTTTTCAGTTTTTGCCATATTTCTGGCTTTTTAGAACCATCCAGGTCAACCCACATGAATTGCACAAATCCGAGGAGAAAAATATTGAGGGGGTTAAGGTATTTTTTTTAAATATGCAGAGGTATACTGTCTTATGCCCCCAATATATTATGTAAGAAATTGTTAATGTATTTACCAAAATGTGAGGAATTTATGTAAAGTGGGAGTCTGACAGCTTTCTGTAACTAGTATCTAATCCAAGTACATCACAGGTACATAATTTAATTAATACTTCAATTCATAGCTGTATAATGTTGTTTTGTCATATTGACTTGGGGTGGGTCCTAAAAGGGTCTTCATTTTCTTGATTAACATCATATACGTATATGAAACCACCACTGTAGTAAGGACACAAGCACCACCATGCCCAAAATCGAGTTACCACCACAGCAAGTTTCAACAAGGCTTCCTCTATGTGGATGACCCAGCAACTGTTGAGAGTGAAAGTGAAGCGAGTGAACCCGAGGCTGGGCCATCACAGGGTTGTAAGCGCCCGTGCAGGCCTCACACATGGAAGAGTAATTTGCAAAAAGGCTCCGTAATGAAGGCAAGGCATACACCAGCTGTATGACCAAAAAATTATTACCAGCAAGGCAGGTAGCTACGTGCCAATGTGTGTTTCACGAGTCACCTTTTTCTCTATTTAAAAAAAATGTCACTTGTGCCCTTACTACTGTGGTGGCCTCATGTCATCTTTAAATTTCCCAATAGTATATATGTTAGGCTCAGAAACCAAAAAGCGACCACAACATGTTGTGGTTGTTTGGATAATAACCAGAAGCGAGATTTTGCTACAGGTTAGGTTAGGTTAGGTTAGTTTGGAATGGATTGGGTTAGGTTAGGTTAGTTTGGATTGGATTAGGTTGAGTGTTATCCAAGATGCAAAATTTCACTTTCTGGTTATTTTGAAAACAACCACAATGCGCTGTGGTTACTTTTCGGTTTCTCAACCCAACATATATATATTATTGAAAACCCCTAATTTTGTTACTGTTGTAATAAATACTGAATTAATGTACTGTACCTGTAAACCAAAAATTTGGGGGAAAGTGAAAACTAATGTGTTTATACAGTAAAGATAGTCTACATTTTTAAGAACATGTATATAAGGATGATTTAAAACTTGCGGTCACAGCGTAATTGACTTTTTTAAATATCTTTAATTTTTCAAAAGTCATTAATTAACACTAATTACAACATATTTTATGAGAACCCAGATTCTTAATCAACATGTAGAGTAATGCCTTTGTATGAAATTTAAACAAAATCTATTTTTTTTACCTCAAGTGCTGAAAACTAAGGTACGTACTGTATTAAGGTCAGGCATATTTTTTACATAAATCAATATTTTGGGGGAAAAGTGAAAACTAACGTGTTTATATAGTAAAGATAGTCAGGGTGTCTACTGGCCAGACTAAACAAAATTAACTGGGTTTTCCAAATGTAAATTTATAAAATTACAGGTATACATTAATTCGGTATTTATTATGACAAAAAAAATGAGGTTTTCAATAATATGTATATTGTATACTGTTGGGAAATTTAAAGATAATATAAATGATATTAATAAAAAAATTGAAGACCCTTCTGTGACCCACCTCAAGCCTAGTGATGAACATCAGTAAAGACCTTGACACCCCCCTCCATATTTTTCTCCTCAGATTTGTGTGATTCACTTGGGTCAACTTTGACGTTCCAAAAAAGCCAGCAATCTGGCAAAAAACGAAAAATCACACTCCTGATCAACCTATATGACTCATGATTAATATGTGGAATAATCCACTTAAATAAAGTCACTTAATTATAAGAACAATTCATCTCTGAAAATACTCACCACAGAATTCGTAGGTATAACCTGTAATATTTGGTTATTTGATCGCTAACATTAAATACGACAGGTACACAAACAATTCAGTTATTGGAGTGGACTATTTACTGGAATTTGTCCCTAAGAGTTTAATTTACCTATTATATAGTACATCATTAATTGATGGAAAGATTACTGTCAAAATAACAATATTTTGAAGTTGAACTGAATTCACATGAAATTCCAGGTTTATTTGCAAAATTCCCTGGGTTTTCCAGGTTTTCCAACCCCAAGTAAAATTCCCTGCCTTTTCCAGGCTTTCCAGACCAGTAGACACCCTGTTATTATTTAATTCATTTATTACACCCCAGGGGGCAACAAGCCTAGACACAGAACCATGCGGTCAGTCACTAATACATTGGTACCCTGTACTTGTATCTCGCAGGTCATGCTATAACAAGTGATAAGAGACAATATTGATATGATTTAAACAGCCACCAAAGTGTGGGTAACGTACAAGAATTAAATCTAAATAATTACGAATAAGTGGGTGGTGACATATAGTGGTTATTGACTCGTCCTGTGGTAGGAGGTCCCTGACAGTGGGACAGTCAAGGCAATATTGTTGAAGGGTGTTTGTGTCAGGACAGTTACAGAGTTTACAAGAAGAGAAGTGTGGGTCACCCTCTGCCTCAGATACTTAACAGATAGGTCTGTATCCTAACCTAATGTGAACAAAGACACCATTATGTCTGTGGACCATATGTCCATGTTGAAGAAAGTTGTGTGGATAAGGAAGAGTGTTGGGTGGATATATTTTCAGCCCATTCACTATCCCTGCAATGGGTTGTATGGAGAAGAGCAGCTAAACATATTCTCTTTCAGTAGGTCATGCTCGGCTTATATTTAGGCTTAAAGGATTCTGCTTGAACAGCCATAATTTCATGAATCAGTTATTGATTAATCTCAATAGAAAAATTTGCAAATAAACCGAGTCTTTTATTTTCATCTTCAGTTAACTATTTTTTTTATAATTTACGGTGGATTTATTTTAAAATTTGAGACAATTAATAATTTTATGTTACTTTTTATTTTCAGTACCTAAGCACAATAAACCCTCGACAATTCGGCACATATGGGGTTCTGGCCTTGCCGAGTTATCCCAAATTCCGTCTTATCGAGGCACTTTCCCCCTTCTACAAAAATACAACAATAAAAAATTATCGACCCATATATATGTACCGGTACATGTAATTACTAAATGTAAAACAGTAACACTTATCAGCAGCGCAGGTGAAGACTAAAGCATCATAGTGACACAGATGCATGGTAGGTGACACAGAGGCATGGTAGGTGACACAGAGGTATGGTAGGTGGCAGAGGTATGGTAGGTGACACAGAGGCATGGTAGGTGACACAGAGGCATGGTAGGTGACACAGAGGTATGGTAGGTGACACAGAGGCATGGTAGGTGACACAGAGGCATGGTAGGTGACACAGAGGCATGGTAGGTGACACAGAGGTGGTAGGTGGCAGAGGCATGGTAGGTGACAGAGGCATGGTAGGTGACACAGAGGCATGGTAGGTGACACAGATGCATGGTAGGTGACACAGAGGCATGGTAGGTGCACAGAGGTATGGAGGCATGGTAGGTGACACAGATGGTATGGAGGTATGGTAGGTGACACAGAGGCATGGCACAGAGGCATGGTAGGTGACACAGAGGCATGGTAGGTGACACAGAGGCATGGTAGGTGACACAGAGGCATGGTAGGTGACACAGAGGCATGGTAGGTGACACAGAGGCATGGTAGGTGACACAGAGGTATGGTAGGTGGCAGAGGTATGGTAGGTGACACAGAGGTATGGTAGGTGACACAGAGGTATGGTAGGTGACACAGAGGTATGGTAGGTGACACAGAGGTATGGTAGGTGACGCAGGTGACCAGATATGCCGAGATTTTCCCAGATAATTTTATATATCTCAGAATTTCCCGAGTTATACCATTATACATTCTGAGACCATACTCATGCCAAGTTACGGGCAATTCCGAGTTATCGAGGGTTTACTGCACTTTATGAATGAGATACTTATTTACTTCTACTTAAGTACATTGAGCTTTGGATACTTTTACTTCTAAGTACTTGAGTAACATTTTGCCAATGTAACAATATACTTTTATTTAAGTAATAAAGTGCGGTACTTTTTACAGCTCTCTATAAACTGTACACTCGAAGAAAGATATACAGTTACCAACAGGTTTAATGTTCCACCCTTTGGTGGCCTTTCCAAACATGTGGCCAACAATGTATTTTTTCGGTAATAATTTTACTCAAGATTTGTGCTAAGCAACATGATAGATGTAATACAGGTGCTCCTGTACTTAAGAATGTTCAACTTACAAACTTTCAGAGATACAAACATCATCACTGAGAGGGGTTACCTGCCAGAACAGGTGTTTAATGTGGCTGAGACTGGATTATTTTGAAGAAAACTCCAGATAGAACAAACATTACCTAAGAGGAGAAGAGTGAGCCAGGTTTTAAGGCTGTATTAAAGGGTATAGCTGTGCTAAATATCCATAAACTTTAAATTTTTTACAATATGTTTGGTATCTACAAGAGTAAAGTTGGACTTACAAACAAGCCTCAGGAACGTAACTCGTTCGTAAGTAAAGGAGCACCTGTATCTGTAAAGAAGGTTCGACTATGATTCTGACGTTGTCACAAGTTTGGAAGGCCACCAAGGGGTGGAACACTGTAGCTATAGGCAACTGTACATAAGAAGAACGGAGTGAATTTACACCAAAATGCAAATATGGTATTATCTCTGTTAGCCGGAATCCCTCTTGACCGGAACTCTTCGACAGCCGGAATTAAAATTTTCTTGGAAAATCGTTCCCAGAGGTAGAATTTTCCAGAAAAATCTGGCTTTGGAACAATTTTCCAAGGGGCACATTTTCTGGAAAATTACAAGAAAATTTTCCCAGTAGAGTAAGCGTAAAATTCCGGGAATGGGGGGAGTTTTAGTTCTGGTTTGAGAGAGGAAAACCATGCACAATTTCTGGTAATTCACAAGAAAAATTCTCTGGTACAAGGAAAATTCCAGGAAAGGGGGATATTTTTTCCAGCTTTGAAAGATGAAATAATGCCTCATTCTGGAAATGTCAGAGAAAATTCCGGGATGGGGCATTTCTTTTCGGGTTCGAGAGACGGTGTAATGCACAATTTTTGGAACTTCTGAGAATATTTTTTCGTTACCCGGGAAATTTCGGAGATGGGGGATTTTTTTACAGGTTTGAGAGAGTCGTCCCGTTACCCGGAAATCTCTCATTCCCGGTAGTGCTCTGCACCAATTGTTTTGGCTAACAGGGATATCACTTGTATATGGAATTGACAGAATTAACCAATTTATGGTCTATGGATAACAGTTACGTATTACATATATTGTACATAAATGTAGCTTACCTTTTTTTGCCTTCATTCTGTAGCAAAAATTTTCTTGTTAGCTTCAATGCTTGTTTTGACTGTACTACTGATGCTGTACACAAGTTACAGTAGAGTATGTTTTTCAATAGAGTTTGTTGGCAAGTGAGAAGTGCAGATTTATTGAGCATCATTTCCATTACTGACTGAAGTTTAGGCCTCGTATTCCAACTCCATGCAACAGCCTCTTCTCTCTTACTGCAGGACCTTCACTATGCTAAGTCATACAGCCTATTCTCCTCAGTTTGTATTTTGAATGTTTCTTCCAATGAATAATTACTGCCCTGAAAAACAAAAACATTAAATGATATAAATTAACTGTTGGGTATGTACGGGAATTATATAACCTAATAGATGGAACAAGTTTCGGGAGATGGTTGCTACTTTATTTCCATATGCTGCATTTTTTTATGGTATCTTTAGCAACAGACTTAATGGTTATCATGAGTCATAGCTAAAAATACAGTAGTTGTGGGATGTCCCATGATGTGACCCTAAATTTCATATGTGGGTACAGTACTGTATACAGAGGGTACTCCCATCTGGGGGGGGGGGGGAGAGAGATGTAGAATGTCCCATAATGTGTATGACCCGAAATCATGTTCTACCTCTGCTGCCGTTCGAGATGTTCTACAGCTGTACGGCAGCCAATGGCCAGCCGGTATAATTTGAGTACAGGTAATTAGTGTTAATTAATGACCCTTGCAATTACACTGTGCCTGTAAGTTTTCAATACCCCTGATATATATATTTTCTCAAGAGTATAGACTAACTTGACCATTTAAGCATGTTATATTTCACTTTCCAAAAAAAGGCCGTAAGTCAACCCAAAAGCACCTGACCCAACACCTTAATCTTCGGCAGATGATGCCATGATGTAGATTTTCTTCACATTTCATACAAAGTTACTCTAACATGATGATAAAGGATCCGGGGTCATAACTGAGTATGTAATTAGTGTTAATTAATGATGCTTGCAATAAAATCACCAATGAAATATTAAAATGTTAATTACACTGTGCTCATAAGTTATAAATACCCTCTATATATATTTTCTCAAGAATACATATAGACTAACTGAAATAAATTTTGCTCAAATTTCTTTACATGTTGATGAAGGAGAGTAACAAAATAAATGAAAAATTCTATAATAGAATCACTAATTGAATGGTAAGTTCATTATGAACATACAGAAAAATATAAATTATACATCTCATATTTCAACAATACTGTACCTCAGTATGTTTCGTTCAAAGTTCACCCCCCCCCCTCCCTGGCAAATATCTGGGTATGCCACTGTCTTAACAAGCATATCTCTCACCAATGTCAAGGGTACGAATTCTGCCTGGTCCAGACACATGCAAAAAGGGTGTTATTCAGTGTAACCCTCCTAAACACCACTTGTTTCCTGGAGTCCGGTTTCCAGTTACCGTAATATTATGTAGTGACCATTTATTGAACTTTAAATTGATTCTTAAAAAGGGAGATAGAGCAAAAACGACAAAAAAATTACTCTATAGCATTTCAGGCAGAAATTTATAGTTTTCGCGTTATTTTCACTTAAGAAAGTAAAGTACGTACGTAATGTACAGGGGATCCCCGGGTTACGAACGGGTTCCGTTCCTGAGGATGTTCTTAAGTCGGATATGTACGTAAGTTGGAACACATGGTATGTGCATACCATACTTACAGAACAATATTTAAAATCCCACTATATCAGCCTAAGCCCTTATAAACATCTAAAAGCACTTAATTTAAGACAAAATAATAAATAGAATGACAAAATACAGTAAATGAAAGTAAAAAATAAGTCATCAGGTACTGTATATGAAATACCTGTACAGTACTGTAAATTTCAAGTTTAACCTCGTTTGTACCGGCAGGCAACATTCGTAAGTAGAGGACCCCCTGTATACAAATTTACGGTACATTTTTTTTCTAACTCGGCCAATCAGCAGAAATGCCAATGTCACATGGTACTCATGCGCTTAATTCTTACTCGGCCAATCAACACAAGTCTCAATTAGCGTAAAGATGGCTTCTATAGGTGAAAGTTGCACATTGAATGATTGGCAATGCACATTTAAGCGGGTAGTGTTATTCATACAGATATTTGGAGGGCTTACAGTACCCTCAGCAAAATTGGTTATGCCCACAGAACTGTAAACTACTGCATAGCAAAAACTTTGTCGATTCAAATACTGGCGTTCATATACAATACTGTAATATATAACATCTGTGGAATGACATCATAAACTTGGTGCTTCATGCCAGCAACAAGGAAGAACATATATACACTCTACTGTCAATAATTTGCTCGGTACATTGCAGGATCATCATAAAGATCATAACACCATAATACCTCCTTTAAGTAACATCACTTTATCCACTTCCATTTTTTTTTTTTACGGGAAATAACCCACCCAGGCACAGGTCATCGAGCCACAACGGGGCCTAGGGGGCGAAAAAATAAGAGTAAAAAGAAATTAAAAATAGAAAAGAAAAAGGGTATGTTAATCTGCATCACGAAGATGCCGGAAAAACAGCTTTTTAAAGTGAGACACATTGTATGAGTGTGGAAACACAGAAAAAGGCAGAGCATTCCACAGTTTGGCTGTGTGAGGAAAGAAGGATGTACTATAATGGGTTATTCTAGTGTGACCGACATCCACAGAGAAATGGTGGGCACCGCGGGCAAGACGTGTGTTACGAGCCCACAACCTTGCCGGCGGTACACAGGATGCCAAATCCACTGAACATTGCCCGTTAAAGTACCTGTAACAGGGAGAGAGTGATGCAACATTGCGGAGAAGAGAAAGAGAAGAAAGATTATTAACTAAAGACGGAGAGTTAATACGACGAAATGCCTTTGATTCCACCCTATCTAACAGTTGGACAGAAGAAGAGACTCCCCAGATATGAGAGCAGTACTCCAAGTTAGGAAGAATGAATCCCTTATATACTTGAAGCAACTGCTCAGGAGTGAAGTACAGTAGCTACGGCATCTGTACAGCATTCCCAACTTTCAGGAGTCAGCTTTAGCAATGTTGAGGATGTGTGGCTTCCATGACATATTAGAGGAAATGGTCAGGCCTAGCATATCTATTTTCGAATTTGGCAGAATGATAGCATCTACTTTGGAAAGTGTAATTGGTAAATACTGAGTTTTATTACTATTGAATTTAACCAAGTTTCTACCTTCCCATTCGGAGATGCTGCACAAATCCGCATTGATAGATGTAATGATATCAATTCTAAAAACAGATCTAGTTTCAGAGTTAGGTGGAAGGGGAAATGTGAAGAAGAGTGAAGAGTAAAATCATCAGCGTAAGAATGGATAGAATTAGTCGTACAGTACTGTGAAGTAAATGATTGATAAAAAAAGGACGGAACCATGTGGGACACCACTATTGGTAAAGAGAGAGCGAGAGATCGATCCCTCAACAACTGACGTGGATCAGTTCTCAAGGAAGCTAGGTAAAGTTAGGTTCACACACTGGGGTCAGGTCCTTCTGATTTTTTCTAGCTAAGTTAAGGTCTCTGGTTAGGTTAAGACATAATATGACTTAACCTAATGAAGGCGTACAGTATTTGAGTAATTTTTAGTGTATTTTAACCCCACAATGTAGGTAAATGGGAGGGAGGGGGGGGTCATATCTCCAAAAGTATTAATTTTTGCTGGAAAACCAACCACCCGAATGGCTAATAGTCTCATAAGTGATTAAAAAAAATAAAAAACACTACCACCATTAATCCTTGAAAACTTCATATAAAATTTCAATGACGGTACTACAGGTTTGCTTCTGTCCCCACTAGAACGCATTTTTTTATTTCATTCATTTTTTACAGATGTTCTTTTGGCGATAGTAAGTAATAAAAATGATACAGTACAACACTGCACAGAGCTTAATAGAACTTGACCTAACCTGACCTAACCATCCAAAGAAACCTACCTAACTTCCTAGCCAGAAGTGAACTCCCCCACCATATTAAACAGAAAGTACTTATGGGTAATTTGATATCTGGTTACCAATAAAAGCAACTTTCTTGACGCAGCGTGGTGTAATTTAGCTTTTTTTCGGAACATGAGAGTTAATAGATTGCGTGCATGTACCAAGGGAGCGAGTAATTACCCAAATGTAGTCGCAATGAAGTCAAATGATGGTCCTACAAGCGTAAATCGGGCTGTGAATCACTTCTCGATTATTATTGGGTGTCATAAAGTCACAAAAATTTGGTAAACTTAATTTAATCTGAGTTAGGTTACGTTAGGTACATGCACTCGATCTATTAACTCAGATTAAATTAAGTTTACCAATTTTTTGTGACTTCGTGACACCAAATACCAGTCGAGAAATGATTGGCAGTCCGATTTATTCATGTAGGACCATCATTTGATGTCATTGCGGCTACATTTGGGTAATTACTCGCTCCCTCGGTACATGCACGCGATCTACTAACTCAGATTAAATTACGTTTTCCAATTTTTTTTTACTTCGTGACACCAAATACTAGTCGAGAAATGATTGGCAGTCCGATTTATTCATGTAGGACCATTATTTGACTTCATTGCGGCTACATTTGGGTAATTAGTCGGACCGGGTGATATATGATTGGTGATAAGAGAAAAACTAAACAAATTTAAATATTTATAATTAAAATGAAACATTGTACCTCTTTTTAAATGCTGTACTCACTATAATGCTAAGAATATTTGTGGAATAAATGAACGAAATCAAACAACTCCTTCTGGTGTTTGCCATCTGCTCCAGTATTCAAAACAAAAGTATTACCTATATTGCACAGTCCAGCCAGACACCAAGAACCCATAGGAAATAAGCTTTACTAATACTTCATGAGCTATTATCAGTAAATGTTTATATATGTATACTTGTACTGTGTAAATCTTTAGTAAATAAATTAAATTCTACTATAGTTTAGGGGGTCTGGACAAAACCTAATATCCTAGCCATGAGGCTCAACAATCTGTACCTCCGGCACATTAAACAAAAAGAACTTACTTTTATGTGAAGTAATTTTATGCTTTATGTGGAAGTGAGAGCAGCGGCCCGATCCATGTGGTGTGTATAATGAAAGACAAAAGTCGTGTCATGAAATTTGGTGAAAACATATGCTGAAGGGCTAGACTTGTGGTGCTCTCTGCCTTGTGGTAGGGCTCTCATGATGCTTCACGAGTTATATTTAATCTGCGGACAAAACCGTGACACAACTTTTGTCTTTGATTGTATCTAGTTTCCTAATCATCAACCAAACGAAGCAACTTTCATAAATATTATGGTAATTATTTACGACTTCACAGCCGCTGATTTTTCATAGAAAACGAATTTTAAAATGCGGCAATTTCACTGTGTTTTATAGTGGACCCTGCCATAGTTATGGCAAAGGTTTGTTAAAAGGCGTTTTCTGAAAAGTTCAAGTTAAGTTAACCTCACCTAACTCAACCTACCCTAACCTAACCTAACATTAACCCTGAACTTAATCTAACCTAATCTTAACCTAACATGACTAAACAAGTTAACACCTGCCGTGGACGAACTTACTGTTACTGACAAGGGGAAAGCGGCTGTGAAGTCCTCCATATTAGCCAAAATTATTATTATATCGGAATTGATGAAAATATAATAAAAATATAACTACCAAAATAAATAACGCGTCGGCTGTGAATTCCTCTATATTAGCCGTAATTACACCTCCCATTTGAACCTATTCCAAGATACAAATTGTTATTCCGGTTACTATGAATCTACTTTTCTTATGAAACACAAAGCTGGATACTGTCAATGTGTTTTACTGACATGGAAATATGCCATAATTGAAGTACTAATATACAGGTATGTCTGGAAATACCGTAATGAACTAACACATATGAGAAAATCTTAACTGAATTTATATTACCAATTTTTACCTTACTAACTTATATATTTCAAACTCCTGACCCGTTACCCGTTATTTTGCTGTTGGATAAGAGGCAAATGAATAATAAAAACTCCTGAAAGATCAAACGAAATAAAGCTCAATTTATATTTCCACGTGATAAATTTACACATTAAATCAATATTAAATTATCATATACCCTCACCACAATAAGGACAGAAATAAAATCTAGCCAATATTAATACTGAATATTGGTTTAATCGTTATATTGATGACTAGATAAAATTTTGAACGTAAAGCCTCTAATTAGATAAACGCCAGTATGTAGTCAGGAAACATAATATTTAAAGAATATTGAGATGTTTCATGTTAATTATTTTTCGCCTTTCAGAAAAACGCCAATATGAGGCCAAGAATTACTGACTATATATCTTTTGAAAATAACTATATAATATTCTACACCAAATTTTTTAAACTAATATATCTAAACTTAAAACAGTATATTTATATGATATAAATTAATTATTATAAAGTATGAAGAGAATAAAGAATCGATTTTAGGAGTTCAAAAGGTGTGAGTGTTTCCAGCTGTTCACATAAACATCACTTTCTCCAGTAAACTTATATAATACACTAAGGATTTTTACTTCGTTCGTAGGTATACAAGGTTTACAATCACTTATATACACCAGATAATTATAAATAACCGATTAGATAGTAACAAATAATATGTGCCTTCGTTTATAGTTGAGGGTGATGTCATTGTTCTTGGTTCAGGCATTGATGGTGGAAAGGAAGTTTTATTGAAGTATTGTAAATATTTAGTTGTCATCTGGTTAATATTGACATTGGAACCACGATTTTTTTTACAAGTTTAGCAAGTGGATTCTTCTTATTATCTAGTATTAAACCTTTTCGTGGGTACACTGAATTTTTTTTCTTTGTGACCTTCATCTCTTTGGTGAATTAAAAAAAAAATCACTGAATTTCTTATTTGAGTGGAAGTAAATCAGTGAGCCTTCCCAGACTTAAATATATATTGCCCAGTGGTTCATTTCTGTGCCCAATTGGTGAAGGTAATGGCGTAATAGTGATAGCAAAATGGAGGGAGTGAAAATGTAAATCAGTATATACTTAAGGAGATTCCAGTTTTGTGAATTAAAGAAAAAATGCAGCTCTAAGCCATTATTTTGGGGGGGGGGGATTTTGCTAACTGAATATTTGCAACATGAATGTACTCGTAGTGAACTGTATTTATTTAGAAATTGGCAAGGAAGTTGAGTGACCTTCTTGCCTTTGGTGAATTGACAGAGATAATAGGCCAAGGCTATTTGTATGGATAAATCCCGTCATATTATCTTGTGATGGCTGAGGATTCAATGATTCGAGAAACCTAACCTATGAATGCAATATCTTGGCCATCATGTGATGAGATTTGTCCATGCAATTAGCTATGGTAAAAATAATGATTGCCCTATACCTACATTTAACAAGAATGAATCACTTAGTACAGTACTTTTACTGTACTACCAAACATAAGGTTTTATTATTTGGTGATTTGTTCTTAGCCATAACACCAGATACGGAAACAGCAACCTACTTGCCATTTTCTGTGCTGTACATTGTTTTATTATTTTCTTAGTTCTAATACTAGATCCTTTAGCTGAATGCACATTAAAGTGCACTTTTAGTTATATTAAAGCCCTCATACCTATGATTCAATGAAGAACTCTTTAAAATTGGTCTTGAATTAGTTTAATATTATTTCACTACTGGTATTCATTTAAAGTGCACAATAAAGTCTTCCATAACTAGGGTTGCCAGGCATCCGGTATATTTGGCATTGTCCTTTATTTCATTACATTGTCTGACCTGTCATCCCAGCAAGGTGTGTCAGGATGCATAATTGTCCCAAATGGGTGGCCCTGATATTGTACGTCAACATGAAAAGACAGTAAATCATCCAGGCTTGTCTTTTACAAATACAACTTTAAAAATTAAAATCAACTTTGTTTTTGGTTAAGTCTGCATCTTAAGAGTTACTGACCATGAACCAAATCCCAAAATATATGACTACGGTGGGCTGCAGCGAGCCTGGGAAAGATTTAAGAGCTAGTGGCGTGTTTTTGTGGATGGCTAATCCATACTGTTAAGATTAACTGTTAATACTGTACTGGCTACTGCTGTTCTATGCTTGGTCCTTTAATTAATCAATTATGATAAAAAAAAAACGAGGTACAGATATTGAGGTCGATTTTGTTAAAATTGCACATGAAATTTCTGTAAGCAATACCTACTGTACTGTATCTTTGTGAAAAAGTAACTCTATTGAGTAATATCTTTGGCCAAGAATATCAGAGAAGCTAATCCAGGCCCAAATATAACTTTACAAAAAAATGAGAATTACTTTTTGATCTCTACTTTAAATTTCCCATTAAAATGTTATTAATTGTACAAATAAAAATGAACAAATATTTTTTATCATTCTCACCCCCTCCCCCCTAAAGAAAAAAAAGTGTCCCATATTTTGAAATTAAGAATATGGCAACTCAACTCCTAACTGGATTAACTGATGAACTACGAGTCTGCTTAAGAGAAATTACTAGCTAGTTGGTGAGAGTCCCTGCATTTTCATTGTGGTATGAAAATAATGGAAAAAGAAGAAATTATGTGCAGCAAAGATAAATAAAGAAAAGAATAAGGTAATGCCATGCAATATTGTACAGTAAACCTCTTGAGCTGTACAGTAGTATTCTCATTTACACGTTTATTCTTTACCTCTCTTACGCAATAAAACTGGAATGGAAGGTACATTACTGCTACCGGGTAAGTCGACACTATACTACTCAGGTCATGGGAGTTGAAATACAGTACAGTATTGTATTGCCAACAACAACAGACAGGCAGAGTAGCCACAACTGCTATAATGTCATGATTTAATGGCTTTCAGCTTCCAAAACTACTTTTCAAGGGCTAGGAATTTTTACAGGCCAACGTTCAACCCCACAGAGTTGATAGATTACTAAAGTGAAACCTCCATATAACGTACTTCTCTCTTCACATACAGGTAATCAGTTAGATGGGGGGTTGCTCATCTAACAGACCCTCGATGTTTATCATTTCATTAATCCATCTACGGTATGTGAATTGATGAAAGTGGTTGGTCTACATCTCGTCATTTGTCCATTCATAAGTTTTTGACTCCTTAAAACTATTGGCTCGGTGTTGTTGAAACTTTCCAGAAATGTTCTTTGGATGGTTTCTTTCATAACTGTGTCTGATATTGGTATTTTCTATCCTAGATGTAGAGTGTGTTAAAGCTTTCAAGGTTTTGTGCTTTTTTTTTTACCATTACAACTTCCACATTTTGCTGTGTATTTTGAGTCAGTTTGGTTGGATACTAAACTAAAACAATACCCGGCCAAACTAGAAGAGGTATGTTTAGACATTTGTTACTTTAATTCTATATGCTTATATTTTATAAACTTATTAATTTTCTTTTTCTTCAGAACCATTGTCAGTTTTGTTGGGTGACAAACTCATCAGAACTCATAAATCACAAACAAATATGATTCTCCACATGAAGAATAGGATTTAAGAAGCATTTGCCACTTCATGATGAAAGTAAAGCCAAGTATGTCCTCCAATAGTACACAAAGATTGTAATTTAATCTTTAAATACAGTTTGATCAGTAACATGACATGAAGAAATGTAACAGATCAAAACACTATTGCCTGGTATACTAATTACAGTACTGGAGAGAAAAATAATGAATTTATAAAAATTGTATGACTGTGGACAAATACTTACTGTTCGTAATGTAATCATTATTGTACTCGTATACTGTACAGTCAATCCTCATTAAACATGGTTCTGTAGATGCTTTTCAGAAAAGTACTGCGTTAAGTGAACACTAATTTCCCATTAAGATACTGTCTCTAATGTTAGGATATAATAATTAAATGCTATAGAATGTATTGTGAAAATGTATTGTATGCTATACGGAGTATTAGATTTTATAAAGAAAACATTATTAAAACAAAGATAAAACTGACTTAAAGCTTTACTTTGTATCACATGTAAACTTAACATGTTTAAATCTGTTGTGTTTCATCCACATGCACTAAATTAAGTAACGCTCTTACAGCCAGCGTTTACAGTACTTTATCTGAATTAGCACGAATTGTTTTACATGATGCTTCACTAGGGCCGAGAACACATGCTTTGTCCATCAGATGTCCACCCTTTTCAAATTTGTCAATAACATTCAAAATTACAGTACAGTACTTCCAAAGAAATAGATTTTCTCTCAGGGGGGGGGGGGGGATATAGAGGCAGTAGTCACAGTTCTCATTAGCTTTACATTTTTTATTCATGATTGCTTAGGAATGACACAAATTTATTGGGGTAAACACGAGAGATAACTCGGATACAGTTTATGAATGAGATGGTAAATGTACTGTGCGAGAGAGAAAGGATGCTGCCCACAGAGGAACACAGTATGTAGGGTGTTGTGGCTGGCTTCTCTGGGACTACGACAGTTCTCGGCCTTGTTGATCATGTTAAAAGAGAAATTGAAAATTTAAGTGTTCTTAAATTGACAAGCAAGTTATAGTACAGTACAGTATTGTGTAAAACGAGGAGCTACTGTGGTAAGCATATTTTTGCCCATCTAACAGAATTATTGATACTGTAATGGGAAAATGTCATTAACTTAATTTATTAACATGTTTATGTAACATTAATAGGTCAATAAATATTGTAACAGCGGGTACAGTATTTTTTTTTTTTTTTTTGGTGCTAAGAAATTATCGTAAGTTATACAGTGATATCCCCTGCTTACCCGGAACAATTGGTGCGGAGCACTTCCGGGAAAGAGATTTCCTGGTAACGAGATGACTCTCTCAAAGCCAGAAGAAAATCCTTCATCCTCGGAATTTTTCTCGGAAGTTCCAGAAATTTCCCATTACATCATCTCTCAAACCCAGAAAAAAATCCCCCGTCCCCGGAATTTTCCGGGTATCGGGAATTGTCTAAATTTTCGCGAAAATAGTTCCCAAAGCCTGAATTTTCAGGAAAATTCCGGCTTTGGAAATGATGTTCCGAGAAAATTTCAATTCCAGCTATCGGAGAGTTCCGGGTTTGAGGGATTCTGGCTAATGGAGATATTACTGTACTGTGTGTATATATATATATATATATATATATATATATATATATATATATATATATATATATATATATATATATATATATATATATATATATATATATATATATATATATATATATATATATATACAGTGAACCATCACTTTACGCGGTCACTTGAACCCACGGCGGCCCGCGTAAAGTGAGAAACGCATAAAGTGAACAACATAACATATGGGATTAATTGAAATAGAGACCGGGCCGACCCCCAAACTCCACTTTTTTAGACACAATACCTACGTTGTAGTAAAAATAACTTCTTAATTTTATGATGGTATGCACACACAATTAATAATTAAGAGAAATATCAATAATATTAGGTTTTTTTAACACTTACATTAGTAGAAAAGATGGCTGGGCACACGGGGATGGGGGTTGGTTCCGAGGCAGAGGGCAGATTATTGGCCCTCACCTGTATCACTTGTATCAATTGTATCACTATCCACCACAGAGGCTTGCAGGGCCTCTTTGTCAAACCCCTCAAAGTCCATATAAGTCCATATCCTCACTATCATTATCACTATCACTGACTTGGGCCGGCTGTGGTGGGTGAAGAACTCGGTAATGTTTTGATGACTGGGCGACCTTGTGCGCACCCTGCTCGCGCCGCTCTCCGCGAAAAGGGTACACACACCGCGGAAAGTGAGCATTCCGTTTTGGCAGGGTATAAACGTGGAAACGATAAAGTGAAAACCGCGTTTAAACCGAAAGCGGGTTTACTGTGTATATATATATATATATATATATATATATATATATATATATATATATATATATATATATATATATATATATATATATATATATATACCCCTCTATCACTCTCCAGTTCTGTATCTTTCTGATGGCTGTAGATGATTACTGTATACAGTATAGTAATGGACTTTAGTACAACATATACGAACTAGTATATTACAAGAATACAGTACCTATAAGACTTCTCAATGAAAATGTTTACATTTAAATTTTTCTTCTTTCAGATATGGCGCTGAGAAACTTGGGAGCAGCCTTATCAAGGCTGTCTCTCTCTACCATCGCTAGAGGTGAGAACAGCATTAAAAGAAGATAATTTTCTTATATCAATTTAATACAAAATCAGGGATAAGTCTTCTGATTAGTTTCCTGGTTTGGGTAAATAATACAGTACATAAAAAAAAACAGACTACTGCACCGTATACCCAAATTGTTGTTTTTTAAATGAGCCTGGATTAGGTTGGTTAAGTGTGCTGGAATGGAGGCCTTTGGCCCAGTTTTGTTGTTTTCCATCTGAATCAAAACTAACTAGGATCAAGGAGCACTCATGGTGGTGGTGAAGACTCTGCCTTTTCCACCAAAGGGGAACTGCCTACTAAGTGTCTCAAGGAATCCAGAACTGTATACAGTACAGTTGGAAAAGTTTATCAGTTCTTTAGATTTTTAGATCTTAATGACAGGTTTTGGGAACCTGGGTGTCACTGTAGATGTGCTGATTACAGTATACACTGTATATGAATCACTTTATCCCAGCCTAGTTAGAAAACAGGATTTAATTTCACTTATTTTTTGTTTTTATGTAATGAGTAAAGAATGATGGATGTATAAATATGCAGAGTTATTATGTAGTTTATATCATTTTGAGATGCATTCTCCTAGTCATCGATATACAGTAAATCCTCGCTTAACGTCGTTGATAACGGAATCAATTTTCCCCATAAAAAATAGATAAAATACGGTAGTTACGTTCCCCAGCTTCCCTTTGCCCCATAAAATGCATTAAATATACTGTACATAAATTCAATGGAATTTTTAGAGAAAATAGTATATATTATACATCCAAAAATATAAACTAAATCATTTTTTATTGTACTCAGTGATGGGCAGAGGTGGAGCGAGTGTGTGGTAGGTAGTGGAGAGGAGGGTGGCAAGTCAGTGAGACTCGGGGGAGGGGAGGGGGGTTGTGTTAAAACCTCCATTTTCGTAGCAAGGCTAATGGTCTTGCATTGCTTCTTCACAACACTAGCATCACTAGCACTTGATGGATGCTTGGAAGCCATTTCAAATGGTTACAGTACAGTATTTAGAGCAAAAACACTTAAACACGCACGTACACTGTAGAAGCCTAACAAAGACTGGGGATGCTGTGACGCTCTGTGAGAGAGCATAGTGCTCTAAGATGAGAGAGTAACGACGTTATAACGAAACAACGTTGTGGGGGCAATGTTAAACGAGGATTTACTGCATGTAGTTTCACATTTACGAGGCCAAATTATCGCTGAACTACACGTAAAAAAACCCTGCACTTACAAGGTTTACGAGGAATGATATCCGTGGAGCGCAGAAGTCTCAATTGAGAATGATTCATATCTCCTGCTATACCACTGGACATCCCCAAACCCCCACACATTCATCCCCCATACAGAGCAATTCCTTTTATCCAAACTCCTCCAGACCAATGACGGTCCAGTTAACTGGAAAGTTCAGATACCTGGATGTGCCAGCAAGAACATGCAATAATAATTAATGTTTGAGGTCAAAATTCAATTTAGCAGTAGCTTGACTCACTGGGAAGAAGGCAGGATGAGGTGGCCTGTGAGATGGCATATTGCCACTGTCATATGTAATGAAACTATAAAAGTTATAGAATAATCAATACAATACAGCTAACTGTACTGTACACTAATGTGGCTTAGAAATAAAGAAATTATAATATAAAACTATAAAATAACAAAAATGAAGAGCATGGGTGTGTATGTGTGAGAAATGAACATGTGTGTTTGGGTTCATACAGGCAGTGGTCTGTAACTGTGTCACCGATCCGCCACCCACTCCTTCCCCCCCGATGTGACGTCACAGAATACACACTTTTCGGAATCAGAGTCAGGTTGGTGACTGCTCACCATAAACAGTGTCTAATCTCCTGCAGTTTTCTATGTTTTTGTTTGCATTCTTGAAATATCATTACTGTTGTTTTAGCCACGAGTTCAAAGTGTAGTTCTAGTGCTAAATTAAGTTCCGTCCCTTAAAAGACTTGTAGCAAGCAATTGTTGAGTGGACAAGACTTAGCCGTTACGCATCGGAAGAAAAGTGGTAAGCGTGATAGACATCTAACATGCTTTTCAGATTCCTGAGTACAAATGATAAAAGGTATAAAAATAATCCTTTTGTGTATCATTTAGTATATTATGCCCCTCCCCCCCGTCCATTCAAATCCAGAAATTCCCCGCTTTAAGTGGTGATTTTTTTGTCCCTAATAGCCTCGGTTAACATGGACCTCCTGCTATTTATAGAGAACATTCCTGTAATAATTTTTATGATATAATTTCTTGTCTTAAATTCAACATATTTTGGTATTGTTATGTTTTAGGTAGCACCTCTGCCTCAGCTGGACTTCACAGGGATCATATTTCTTCTCTGCCCTTCACTGGAACAACAGCTACGTGCAGCATCTCATCTTGCATGACAAGTTCTTCAGCTACATCGTGCACCAGCAGCAGCAGTGTGGGTACATCAGTTGTCTGCAATGCAATGACTCTGAACCCTCAGGTAAATTTAATGGTTTTCTTTTTATTAATTTTACTTCACCTTTATTATTGTATAAATACTGTACAGTATACTGCCTCAATTTTGGATCTTGATTAATGTAAAAATCTTCTCACAGAAAATATGAAATTGAATAAGTTCACCAATATGTAATCTTCATAGTCCCAAGTTACAGAAGAGGGTTACTAAACAAAATTTTTTGAAAATCTGAACATAAATAAAGGAACTATTTTGTTCACAAGGATTATGTCTACAGGTCAGACATTAGAAACAATGTCATATTCTGAAGGGTACAGTAGAATGAATTAAGGTTCATAACTTATTATTTATGTTTAATTGCAGAAACGGGAGATAAAAGTTCAAATACACAGCAGAAATGTAAATTTGATGAGGAAATTACCACAAATGCAAAATCACTCATATACCCAATAAATTGTTGCTAAAACTTGAGTAGTAGTTATTGGTAGCGGCTTTAGTAACCAAAGCTCAAGTGGAATGATGTGCCCAGTACCTTTACAAGAAATTATTTGTACTGATACATTGTTATTTCTCAACAGATTCGAAAATTAACAACATCTGCGATGCGTCCTGCATCACTACGGCAGATGCACCGCACTGGACCCATCAAGAAAATACGCAAGAATAAGAACCCTCTAGTTGACAGGCCTTTTGCCAGAGGTGTTGTGCTAAAGACAGTGATCAAGAAGCCCAAGAAACCCAATTCAGCAAACCGCAAGTGAGTTGGCAGATTTATGTGTAAATCATTTTAGCTTCAAAAACTTTTTGAATTATAAACCAAGTATGAACTGCAGATTAAATGTAATAAATCCATTTTTATACTTTTATGACTATATTGTTAATTTTATTCCTAGACTAATACATTGGTTTCTATCTTATAAGATGTGTGTTGGTGAGGCTTACAACTGGCAGGGAGATGATTGCCTATGTGCCAGGAGAAGGCCATAACCTGCAAGAGCACAACATCGTCTTGGTCAGACCTGGAAGGTTGCAGGACGTACCCGGAGTCAAACTTAAGTGCGTTCGTGGCAAGTACGATCTGCAGCACGTCATCAAGAAGGTACAATAAATACAGCTGTGAGAAGTTGAATCACCATCAAGTCATCAAGAGGAAACAATGACAGCTCTATACATCTCATGAAAGTACTAACCTGCCTCTTTACTTCATTATAGGCAGAAACTATGTGCATATTTTCATTAAATTCAACCCATGAACACAACTGGTAGAACTAAGTAAAATCCACTCCAAACAGAAAAAACCTTGAAACACTGAACATAGTCAAAATCACTTCGACAGTGTCCAACTAAACTATCACTGCAGGTGGTGTGCACCCCTGCCTAAACTTCCAGGCCTATATCGAAGGGGCCATATTTCTGGATATGAATTTGGAAAATGCTATTAACCCTTAAATGGCTGCCCTCATTAGTAAGTGAAAGTTAGCTTTAGGGATGGCAGCCATCATCAATGGACGTTTCATGATCCTTGCATTCCATTTTTGCGCATATGGAGCATTGCAGGGAATCATGAGCCTTCGATTAAGGGTTCATGATCTTGTTCTAGATATTCTTGATGTGAAGAGGCATATTGTACCAAATTATACCCAATCTACTGTGATTGGGGCACAGTCGATTATGTGCTCTTAGAACAATCCAACCCTTACATCAGTGATTAGATTAGCTGATAACTGAAGGATAAGTGGTAAAGTTAAATACCAGAAGTCATTTTATTAGTAGAACTAGATTTTTACTGCATGTGCTTGGGTCTCATCATTCATAACTCACTGTCGAATCCTTCCATCACCTCCCCAATAGAGAAGCTTGTCTCTTTATTTCTTGAGCAGTTTGTTATACTGTTGACTAAAATGACAGGTGTCTTAAAAGCCAAACATTTCTTCTCCTACTGTAGTGCAGATAAAGTTTTGAACTTTTAACTGTGACAATACTGTACTTGCAAGTTCAATCTCGTAGCACATTTTTGTACATTGTGTAGGTAAATTATTAAAATCTACAAGAGGGAAAATGATATTAGTACATGTGAAAAGTTAAAATTAAAACTGGATTTGTTGTTCAGTATTGCGTAAAAATGTTTCTTGTGTAATAAATAACTGAAAATGAGCAGACCTTTATTTATATATGTAGTTTAATACCTACAATACTTTCTTAACATGATATACAGTACTGTATATATTTAGACTAAAAGTGTACAGTATAATGAAATTTTGCTCTACGGTGGTGCAACTTTCTATATGTTTAAGAATGTTGCTTTTAGGAATAACTGCAATATACCTGTCTGTGTTTATTGTCTTAGTATCAAAATTAATTAACATGGCTGGAACCTTTACAACTAGACAAAAGTGGTATTAACTTCAAAGTACATGTACTGTACTATACTGTATATTAAAAATGAAATAAAATTAAGATAAAGTATTTGAAACTACAGTATACTGTACTGTACCTTTGTTCGTGCAATATTATCATGTATGACTGGTCTCATATTCAGTACAGGTACAGCATAAAGTGATAAAAGGAAAGTAATTGACTATAATGAACTGAGATAAATTAAAAACAATATAATTGACAAATACAGTAATGTATGTAGTACAGTATAGGTACTGTAATAGGCAAACCTAAAATAACTATAGATTACCTTGTCATTACCTTTTCTACTCTAGTTCAACACAATGCTGAAAACATGAGGGAGAGAGTATGTGCAATACATGTTAATATGAGACACTGGGTATATATATATATATATATATATATATATATATATATATATATATATATATATATATATATATATATATATATATAGTCATCCCTTGGTTATCGTGATTTTCGTTATCACGCCTCCATCAAAATCTGCACACCTGCTGTTATAGCGCATTTTTCAAGCCGAGAATTTCGTTATCACGCAGTTGACTCCAGGTGTTTTTACCCATTTGCTTCACCTACATCTATTGAGGATAAAATCTTTCACCTACAAATTGATAATAACACATTTGCTGTAATCAGACGTATCTAAGTTGCCTCAACAAATGCAACCCCAGTTGCAATTTCAAATTCTGTGTCATTACTGAGGAATAACGAAGTATCGGGTGCACTCTAAGATTGAGAGAAAACGGAGGACTCAGGCGTCCTGGAGCAATGAGAAAACGGACTCCTCAGACGGGGGACTCAAATAAAGAAAGCATAGCTACATGTTTTGTGGACTACAGTATTGAGCGTACCCTTTTCGTCACTTTATAATAAACCTAGCCATGCCAATGTGTTTTTCTGATACTTACCATTACATTATCTATATATTTAGTAGGTCTAAACCAGTGGTGTCAAACTCAATACCTTTCGAGGCCCAATTCTTATTTTAGTTACCCTCCTCAGGGCCAACACAAGTGCTATATCACATATTTACTTTTACTTTTATCCTCTTCGCCGCTGATAGGCTTGTTAGCCGCTTGGGCGATCGGTCACGTCTCTGATTACTTTTCCTTTTCATTTATCTTCTTCACCAAAAGATCGGCTCGCTAGCCGCCCGGGCGATCAGTCACGTCTCTGTCACGCACTGTTGGCAAGTACTGGGCATTCACCGGCTCCTAAATGTACCTGAACCCGCTCCAGTGTTGGTCAAGTCTTGTCTTGAAAGAGCTCACACTCGGTGCCGTCACAGCACTCTCTGGTAGATTGTTCCAAGAGTTTACAACCCTCACTCCGAAAAGGTTTGCCCTCACAGTTTTCTGGACTTGCGGCTTCTTCAATCTTGAGCTGTGACCCCGTGTGGGGCGAGCGTCCGCCAGCTCCAAGTAAGGACATTCGACTGAGTAGTGCCCCTTGAGATGCTTATACACCTGAATTAGGTCGCCTCTTGCCCATCTGTAGTATAAGCTAAGCAAGTTCAGGAGCTCCAATCTCTCAGGGTAGCTGAGGTGCCGATGTGGAGGCACCAGTCTGGTGGCCCTACTTTGAACATTTTCAACCAACTGACAGTCCTTAGCATATCTCGGGGACCAGATGGGGTGACAGTACTCCAGATGGGGAAGCACTTCACTCCTGAAGATTGTTACGAGGGACGGACCGTCTAGATATCTGAACGACCTTTTTATAAGACCCAATAATTTATTTGCCTGATTTACCTTCTTCTCACAATGGCCCGAGAACTACAGCTCATTGTCAACATACACACCTAGGTCCTTCTCACATACAGTCTCAACAAGTGCAGTTTCATCATCCCGTTGGTACATATGATACGCCTCCTTACCGTTGGTACGCCCCAGGTGCATCCTCTTACACTTCGTGACATTGAATCTCAGCAGCCATTTCTTCGACCATTCCTGGAGCCCACAGGAAGTTTAGAACTTCACACATTGCCTTACCTGGCTTACCAGGAATACCTGATTTGGGTTTGTCTGATCTTAAGTATGTAAAATTCATTTTACCAAATAAACATGATTATATCTATTTCATTCATAATTTCACGGGATGAAATTTTACTGTCATCCCGCGGGCCACACCTGACCATCCCAAGGGCCACACTTGGCCCGCAGGCCATGAGTTAGACACCCCTGTCTTACACCTTACAAAACTTTTGACCAAAATATACTTTTTTCTCAGAATTGAAATTTAACGGGTTTAAACAATTAAGTGCTTTCAGAATAACACACAAACCCTAAATCACACCTTGGAAACCCATAGTTGATGAGTAATTAGCATTAGAAAATGTCATTAAAATCATTCAAGGGTCATTTTGTCAAATAATTACTCTGCAATCGAATCGTGGACCACATATTCATAATCAGCAAGCTCAGGAGTACCCATACTGTGATTTTCAGCAAAATCTAATTTTTGGCCCAAAACCACAAAAAATGTAAGTCTTACACCAGTGGTGTCAAACTCAATACCTTTCGAGGGCAAATTCTTATTTTAGTTACCCTCTTCAGGGCCAACACAAGTGCTATATCACATATTTGCAGGATTGAAGTGTGTGTGTGGGAGGTGTTTACGTGAGATGTGTGTACGTGAGATATTGTGTGGAATGAGTATGTGCGTGGGGTAGTATGTATGTGTAAGGTAGTGCTAATTAACATTGCATTAACAATTAACCGTAACCAAATAAGTCTTGATATCCTGATTGAGGAATAAAATATAGTGCAGATGGATAGATTTAGTAATATCGCGGAGAACGTTACCCAGGTCATCCAGTGAGAGAATCTGAACCTCTCCTCATATCAGTACCTCAGATGAGCGCCTCCCGTTACACATGAATGGCATCTGATAACCTCACGGTCACCCTGGTTCATCAACCCCCGCCGTCAGATTACCGGGTGGTTCCCATAATGGTCAGTGTGGTCACGGGCCACCAGAGCTGGGGTCGTGACCCCACACCCGTGGTCAGGACCCGCCACCATCATTTCCTCTCCCAAAACATGTCATTCACCCTTGACCCATATTTTCCTCGTGCTATTTATAGTACCAAGAATCTTAGGCCATTAAAGGAATGATGGTCATCTTTTAAACTCATCCTCTATATGATATATAGAGAATTGACATTAATGTGAATATTAAGTTAATAATTTTGTTGCTGAAATTTAAATAGACGTCACAATGGGAAGACAGCATTGGCTGATTTACATGTATTATTGTAATTTGGTTTAGTTTAGGAAAAAGAACATTTGTTTATAAATAAAAAATCGTAGTACACTCGTACAGTACGATACCTAGTGAAACAAAATACACTACTGTACTGTATTCTCATTAGCATACAGTTACTTTAAATTTGAAGGACGGCTACACTATGACATCATCACCAAGTGCTGTGACGTCATCACCAACTGATATATCACCACCTATAGCATCTATAGCTATGACGTCATCACCAATGGCTGTAACGTCACCATCAGCTATGACGTCATCAACTGCTGCCCTGTATATCCGTCAACCTATACCTGAAGCTACCCAGCGTGTTCGAGTTAATGATGATGTTGGGTAAGTATCTTTGTTATATATAATAGTATCACCTTTGTTTGTGTGTGTGTCCGCACGAGAATCTCGGAAACTACTTTACCGATCTGTAGTGATGATGGGTGGTGTTATATGTAGTGATGATGGATGGTGTTATATGTAGTGATGATGGGTGGTGTTATATGTAGTGCTGATTAGACAATAAAATAATAACAGTTTAATGCTAAAAAATATCTTTGCTGTAACGTTGTAGTGAAAAACATGGTTACACGGCCCCACTCAGATTTAACACCATCTTCGCTGACCCTCTGTGTTCTATCGGTGAGCCATGATTTAATCCAATTTAAAACTTTCCCCTCGATACCATGAGCCTTAACTTTTCTCAGAAGCCTCTAATGCGGTACTCTGTCAAACGCTTTGCTAAAGTCTAAGTAAATAACATCGTAATTATCGTCATTATCTACTACCTCGAAGACTTTCCTAAAAAACGTTAGCAGATTTGTTAGACATTGAGCGATAGCCTAGCTACATAATGCAATAAGTTTAGTGATCGTTGTATCGACCTCGACTAATATCGAATGCACTTTGTTAATTTATTTAATATAAATTTAATTTTATATAAAACTTAGGTAGTAATAAATGAATTAGTCGAGGCTTCATTTATACTGTGGGTTCTGTGACCATTACAACCCTAACGTTACCCGAGGGGAGTTAGGCAAAACTAGATTAGATTAGTTACGTTAGGTTAGGTTAACTTAGGTCAGGTTTAGGTCGGTAAGGATATGTTAGGTTAGATTAGCGTTAGTGCGGTTAATCTTCACGTGAAATAAGCTGGAGTGGCGATTTTTCAGATCCAATTTTTATTTAACACTTGTCTTGTGGGTTTGTTATGATACCACCCCCCCCCCCCAATATCATATACAATAGAAATGAGGGATCTCGTCTGTCTTTCTGTGTGTCGAACAACGGTGAAGAATAGAAACGGGATAACGAGCAGACTCCAAAAACGCGATTACCATTGTACAAGAAACAGAGAAGAGGCGGCGACAAGAAAGAGGGAATAGTGAACAATAATAAAGACATATGACAAAGAGAAATACAGATTATACATAAAAACGCAGATATACGCAGACACAAACATAAACGGAAACTCAGAGTAA